TCCCTCCAGGGTCTCCCTCCAGGCCCTTGCACCTGTTGCTCCCTGTCTTGACCCGTTGCCCTTCTGCTCCACTTGTCTTCTCCCTTCAAGTGTCAAGTGGCATCCCCCCCAACCCCTGTGAAGATATCCCAAATCTCCCAGGCAACTTTTCTCATGCTTTCTTCAGCCTGTGCATGCTATTAGAGAATCTGCCAAATATATTATTAGTTTCTCTTTGTGCACCTAACTCCCACTGCACCGGAAACAATTCAAGAGCAGAGTCCATGCTGTTTACCTCTCTTACTATCTCCTGTAAGCAATGCCTGCCTCTGTAAGTAATTTGCCTAAGAACAAATAAATGGTTTGTGTGTGGTGGCTCAATCTGTAATCTTAGCACTTTGGGAGGCAGAGGTGGGAGGATTGCTTGAGGCCAGAAGTTCAAGACCAACCTGGGAAACATAGAAAGATCCCATCTCTACAGAAATTAAAAGTCAAAAATTAGCCAGGTATGGAGGCGCATGCCTGGAGTTCCAGCTACTTGGAAAGCTGAGCCAGGAGGATTGCTTGAACCTAGGAATTGGAGGTTGCAGTGAGCTATGATAACATCACTGAACTCTAGCCTGGGTGACAGAGAACCTGTCTTAAAATTACTCAGTTAGTTAAAAGAATGAACAATTGAATGAGGGATGAATGAATACGTAAATTCTACTCTTCCTCTTTCAGAAGACAGTCCCACTTCCTAAGAGACTGGGACAGGTGTGTGTCCCTCCCTGCTGAGTTTATTCCTCTCCCTCTGACTCCAGGTCATGATGGTAGTGGAGAGTATATTTCCAGAATGGACCAGCTGCAGCAAGCCATGGGTGGGATTAGGCCCTCAATTTTCCCCATGTCCCTCCCTGGCAGAGCTGCATGCCTTCAGATGGATCATCAGTTCACCTTCAAGTTATGTTACCTGACTACTCTTGTGTGCACATGCTCTTAGTTAACCAAAAGGAATTCCCAGTTGCTTCTTCTCTAGTAGAGAAGGAAGTCAGAATTGTTAGCTTTAACTGTGACCTTTAGAGTATTTCAATAAAAGGCATCTGTAGTCTTTTGATTGCCCAGAAGCTTTAATATTTACTCTCCAAAGCCTCAGTAGAGCATGGGCCAGGACTGAGCTGACATCCGGAGCCTACTGCACGCGGTAAACCTAGCTCCACCTGGATTCGACAGCTGGGGTCTGCAGAGCCTGACAAATTATCTAAGGCTGGTATGTTACTCCTTTCTACGAATTCCTGTCTCTTCTGGCTTATAGAGGCAGCACAGAAAAGTTCTCAAAGAGTGCTTATTCAAGCTGTCAAGCTTCGTCACCTGCTTTGAATGAAGCTCCCTCAGCTCCGTGGATTTCTTTGTTTTCTCCTATTTTTCATGC